AATTAATTGCCATGCTCCACTATCAACATGTTTAATTTGACCAATAGGATTCAAAACCATCATTAAAAGTTAATTTTAAAATTCACACAAAACCGCAGCAGGAATTTTTCCTGCTCCAGCTCAGAAGTGCCAACACTGCCTGATCTTCCCCATGAAATTCATTTCAGTTTTGTGATGCAAACCTGATTTAAGGTATTTTATTTAATTCTTTCATCAGAAAAACGAGCAGTCAGGCAGCACAAACAATGCCAGGAATGGCTCCCTGCATTCCCAGCAGAGTGACTTCATTCCAACAGAACAAACTCTGAACTTTTATTTCCAAAATTTCTCACCAAAACCTAACTGCAAACTTATTTCAAGCTGCCCCTGGCACCTCAGCAGACAGTGCAGCTGCAAACCCCAAAGCACAGCCTCAGCTCCTGGAAATCTCCAGAAGAAGGGGTGAGAACCACCCCATTAACAGCAGGATCCCAGTGAGAAACACCCCAGGGGCTCTCGAGTGAAATTTCCCCCCAGAATTTGGGGAAACACCTTGGAATGAAACAAGGATGGAGCGTTCACACAGATCATTTCTTTGTTCCCAATAAAGGGATGCACCCCACACCCCAATTGAGAGAGGGAGTAGCCACAGCTACCTCAAAATCTCCTCTCTACTCTGCAAATAAACATCAGCTGAAGCAAATTAATCAGAAAATTAATTAAGCAGAAAATAATGAATCTATTCACCTTTCTTTTCAAACAACACAGAAATGTGAGGTTTTCTTGACTGATGATCCCTGGTTCTGAAGGCAAGGGCTCAGCTGCTCCTTTGCTGCACAGCCCCAATTTTGGGAAGGAGGAGATGTGAAAGGCAGAGACATCAGCTCAAATCAACCCAAAAATCCACCACGGGACATCCCAGCACCCTCTGGTTGGGAAGGCAGCTCTTGAACAGGATTGGGATTTTCTTGGAAGGGCTCCAAGGCACGGAGGAGCAGCCCAGGCCATTCCCCAGCTAAGCTGAAACTTTCTTCATGTTGTGCTCAGCAAACCACTTGTCACTCTTGTCTGCAGCCATGGCCTGCACAAAGACAGGGGGAAGTGCTCAGAACAGCAGGAATAATTTACCCCTCCCTCTCTGGAGGGATTAATTATTTTTTAGCCATTAATAAGGAGAATTGACACTGAAAACCAATGTTCTGTGTCACAGCAAACAATGTGATCATGCCCCAAGAGTGAGGCTGGACAAGTGCAACCAGGGCACCAAGTGAGCGTTAAAAATTGATTTATTTTCCTTACCAAGCCTGGGTAACTTGCTTCTAGGAAAATTTCAATTTTTTATGAGTAAAAACTAAAAATTTAAAATAAATTTTAAAATTATAAAAATAATAAAAACATGGAAACATAGAATAAAAATATGGATATTTATAATAAAAATATGGATATTTATTAGAAAATATAATAAAACTAATAAAATAAAATGTGAAAATTTTCAAAATAAATACAAGTAAAAATATATACCGGAATATAATAAAAATAACAAAATATAAATAAGATTAAAAATAAAAATACATACTAAAATATAATAGTAAAATAAAAAATATAGATAAATAAAACTGAAAATGAAAATAATAAAATATAATAATTATATAGATAAATAAAATAAAAATATATACATTAATATAATTAAAATAACATAAAATATAAATAAGATTAAGATATACATATATACTAGAATATAATAAAAATAATAAAATACAATTATGGATAAATGAAAATTAAAATATATAACAGAATATAATAATAAAAGAAAAATAAATATATAAAATAATAAAAAATTAATAAAAATATTTTAAAATATAATTATTTTTATGAGAAAAATTACATGTATCTCTGATCAGGAAGAAAATTAACATGCAGTCACTTACATCATCCAACAGCTTGTCACCATTAGGGTCCACCTGGGACAGCTCTCTGAATGCTTCATCTCCCACAAAACAAACTTCATGTCCATCCTGGAAGGAAGCAGCTCAGTTATAACCAATGGCCAGGAGAATTTAACCCCAGTTTGATCCCTGTTCCCAGTTTCACTCACAGGATCAGCCAGAATCACCACCTGCACCGTGGCCTTGCCAGGTGTGTCCAAGCTGACCAGAGGGGTCAGAATCTTCTGATTCTCCTTTTCCATCAGGGCTTCAATGCCTGGCAGCTGAAAACAGAAAAGAAACTCAAATCACCTCAGTGCCAGGAAGATAAACAAGGTGTGTTCTGTTAATACTAAAAATGGGAAAGGGCTGAGGGAAGGGGGGCTGGCACCTCGTCCTTGGCACAGGAGAAGGCGACGCGGCCAAACGCTGTCCCGTGATCCACTGCCCCTCCTACAGCCCTCAGCTCCAGCTTGCACTGCAACAGAAAAACAGCCTGGCTTGCAGGGAAAAACACAAAACACAGCCTGGCCTGCAGGGAAAAACACAAAACCCAGCCTGGCCTGCAGGGACACTGCTCACTGCTCTCCAGGCTGCAGCTTTTCCTCCAGGATCTGGTGATTCCAAAATCCCCCATCCACGCCTTTCCCACCAAGCCAAAGCAAACAGCTCTGCTTTTTTTAAAAGCTTCAATTCAACACACCTTCAATTAAAACACTCCTAATTAAGGGCACAGTTGTTTTAATTAAGGATTTTTTCCCTTTTAAGATTCTGTTCTCAGGAAATTGGTGATTTTTCCAAGGACTGACCTGGTCATCAGCATAGCCCAGCAAAACTCTTTGTTTCTCCTCATCCTTCTCATATATTTTCATCCCAAGCAAGCCAGACCAGTAGCTCACAGACTTCTGCAGGTTTGAGACACCCAGGGTTACCTTCCACACGGGATCTTGAGGATTGCAATAATTTCAAATTAGCTACAAACATATTATAGGTTAAAACCCACAGTTAATGTCATGGGTATTCTTGAGAATTAACAGAGAAATGATAAAAAAAGTGTTCTGTTTTACAAAATGCCATCAAAATAAACACACTCTGATACCCCACTGGTAAATCTCTGCTGGACACCAGTAGGGGTAAATATTTCACCTTGCTTAAGCTTTTCCTTGTCTTCCAGGTAGAACTTGTATCCTCCTGGGGCTTCAGTTTCAAAGACACCAGAGGTGACCTCTTTGAGGGGCCAGCCCATCTTCTTGGCATTGCTCACAGCCTGGCTGGACACGAGAGTGATGCCCTGGAGAGGACACAACACAATCCATGGGGTGGATGCAGAGGCATCACCTCTTTTCACACAGCAAACACAAGAGCTCCATCTGCTGCCAGCCACTAAATCACAAAAAATTATTAAAATAATAAATATGAAAGTGTTTTCCTGCAGCAAGTCCTTCCTAGCTCAGCATTCCATGGTGGACCTGGCAGCAAACAGTAGAGCAGAGGAAGAGCTCCAGAAATGTTTAAGTGAGCACAAATCTGCTCTTCCATCTCAGAAACAACCACAAAAGCAGCACTGAAGTGTTTAAGGGACAAATAGCATTAAAAAAACGCCAGCTGGTACAACCCATACAACAAATGAGCTTCTAATTATTAAGGTAAATGAGCTTATCATGAGAAGGGTTGGCTGCTTGCAGTGGAACTCACCAGGAAGTCGTTGCCCAGGCGATATTCCCCAATGCCATAATTGTAAGTCAGCTCCACCACAAAGTGATTGTCCTCTGGTCCATAGCCCACCATGGTCTTGCTCCATTTTCCATCATAAGGGCTGCAATATAAATATTACCCATATTTTAATGTCATTAGTGTTGCAATGAACCATCAAGAGCTGCAAGTATTTGCGTTTCAAGGGGGAGTTGCATTTCTAGAGTAAGATCATGGCAGATTTGACCCTGGGCTGTGATTCATGCCCATATGATAAAAGCAATTCCACCTCATTAACAGTGCTTTAAGGGCATAGGCTGCTCATTAGCTGCAATTACATAATCACTTCCTTATTGCTAAGCAGGAAAGGCTAACAAACTGTAAGATTCCTTACACTTCAGAATAACATGTGTTCCTCTTTCTTCTTTTTTTCATTCCTTTTTTTTTACAGAAGGCTTTGGGGCTAACAGGAGGGATTTTTAACTCAAGAACCCTGATACTGCCACACTTATATAAACAATCAGTGGGAACTGGATGTAATCCCTGGTAAACTGAGAAATAATTCAGACAAGTATCAATCTACAGATGTGGCATTTATGTTCAATATAAGCACCGCACTTGCAGAGTGGGGGGCTGTAGGTTCCAAGGAAAGAAATTGAATAAAAGATAAGCTAACCCTTACTTTGGTGTGAATAACAGCTCGGGGCACTCACCCGTTGCAGGTGGCCTTGCAGCCCTCCTCGAACTCCTCGTGCCGCAGCACCTGGAGAGCCACAGCACGGTGTGGGTTGGGAGGGGACCTCGGGGATCCATCCCCTCGTTCCGACCTGGAACGCCTTCCCCAGGCCGGGGGAAGAGGGAGGGAGCGGGCAGGAAACGGCTCCAACCCCATCCCCATCCCATTCCATTTCATTCCATTCCATTTCTATTCCATTCTCATCCCATCCCCATCCCTATCCCTTCCCCATCCCCGTCACCGTCTCCATCACCGTCCCCATTCCCACCCTATCCCCACCCCATTCCCATTCCATCCCCATCCCCGTCCTCATCCCCATTCCCATTTTATCCCCATGCCATTCCTATCCCCGTCACCATCCCCATTCCCATCCTATCCCCGTTCCTCTCCCCATCCCCGTTCCCCGTCCCCGTCCCGTCCCCAGGGCCGCGCCCCGGGCACACGGAGGGCGCAGAACCGCCCGTTCCCGGCCGCAGCCGCCACTCCCCGAGCCCAGCGATCCCAGCCGCTGACCCTCATGCCGAGCAGCTCCCGGTAGAACCGCGCCGTGCGGGCCCGGTCTCCCACTTTGAAGACGAAGTGCAGCGCCCTGCGGGCGGCCATGGCGGCGGCGGCCGTGACGTCACGGGGCGCTGCGCGGTGCCGCGGTGACGTCACGGGGCGGTGTCATGGCGGCGCCGTGGCCGCCGCTGTGGCGGGCGCTGCTGAGGCCCCGCGGGCCGCGGCCGGAGCCGGGCGGGCGGCGCGGGGTGCGGGCGCTGCGGCGGAGCCCCGTGCGGGTGCTGCAGCCGCAGAGCCCCCGGGAGGAGCCTCCGCCGCCGCCTCCGCCGCCCGCCGTGGAGCGCAGCGCGGCCGCGCCGGGGCTGTGGTATGAGAAGGCGGCGGCCGGGGACCGCAGGCTGGGGTGAGCGCGGGGAGCGGGCCCGGCCGTGCTGCCCCTCGGAGCCCCGCTGGGCTGGGGGAAAGGGCTGCCCGTGGGAGGGAGGGGGGTCTGAAAGGCGCTGCCGGGCTGGAGGTACCGGGAGGTACCGGGGAATGGTTGAAGGGAGCTCAAAGCCCACCGAGGAAAGGGGGATCTGACAGGCGCTGCCGGGCTGGAGGTACCGGGGAATGGTTGGGGTTGAAGGGAGCTCAAAGCCCGTCCCGTTCCATCCCTTACCTGGGCAGGGACACCTTCCCACAGAGCAGGTGCTCCAAGCATCATCCAGCCTGCCCTTGGATACTTCCAGGGATCCAGGGGCAGCCACAGCTGCTCTGGGCACCCTGTGCCAACCTTACCACCCTCACAGGGAAGAATTTCTCCCCAATATCCCATCCAATCCTGCCCTCTGGCAGTTTGAAGCCATTCCCCATTGTCCTGGCACTCCAAGCCCTTGTCGCTTGGTCCTTCACCACCTCTCTTTCCCGTACTGAAAAGTGCTCTAAGGTCACCCCAGAGCCACCTCGCCCAGCCTCTCCTCCTAGGACAGGTGCTCCATCCCTCAGATCACCTTTGTGACCTCCCAGAGGAGCTCTGAGGGGCTGGTGAAGGTCAGACTGGAGGTATTGTGACCATCACAGCCACATTCCCTGAATGATTTCTCCACAGAAAAGTGGTGACTATCGCCAAGTCAAAGAAGTTTCGGGATAATCACGGGAAGGTTCTGCTGGAGGGGCACAGGCTGATCAAGGATGCTCTGCAGGCAGGGGCTGTGCCACAGACCCTCTTCTTCAGCACCGTGAGGCACCTGAAGCTGCTGCCTGAGGCTGAGATAAAACGAGCCAGCTTGGTTAAGGTGAAATTTGAAGACATCAAGACCTGGTCTGACCTCGTAACTCCTCAGGGGCTTCTCGGTAAGTTGCCTCTGAAACAGTTGCAACACTGCCCAAAGGGAAACTTTTCATATTTAGAATAATGACTCTTTTAATAATCTTTCCTTAGACATAGCACTGCTGGAAAATAAGTTTTCCTTGCCAAATGACAAACTCTGCTCAAACTTCCTTTAGGTGGTGCTTTTCCTAACACTTCCTCCAGCACATCTTTAGTGAGATTTGGGCCAACTCTTTCAGAGCAGGCCTCTCCTTGGGGTGGGTCACTCATAAACCTGTCACACTCCATTTCCTCAGGCATTTTTTCCAAGCCTGACCCTGCCAAGATGTCCTACCCTGCAGCTCAGCTCGCCAACTCCCTGCCCCTGCTCCTCATCTGCGACAACATCCGAGACCCAGGAAACCTGGGCACCATTCTGAGGTCTGCAGCAGGAGCAGGCTGTGAGAAAGTGCTGCTCACCAAAGGTAAGAGAAAAGTTTGGGGGTAAGGGAGGGAATGAGGTGCTTGAAGATGTTCCTCAGGGTTTGTAAGGAGTGGCTGGCATGGCTGGCTGTGGTGTGAATCCCACCTTGGTGTGGATCCCTGTGCTGTCACTGTTTCTCCCCGTTCCTTCCCAGGCTGTGTGGATCCGTGGGAGCCAAAGGTGCTCCGTGCAGGAATGGGGGCTCATTTCCGTGTGCCCATCATCGCCAGCCTGGACTGGGACTCTGTACCCACCAACCTCCCTGCGGGCACCCAGGTCTGCGTGGCCGACAACAATGCCCCCAGCAGCTCATTCCTGCCCAGAGGGGCTGCCTCTGCTCCTGCCAGCCCCACAGCTCCTGTGAAATCCAGCCCCAGGGCTGTTCCTGAGCACAAGGATGAAGAGGGAGCAGCAATCCCAGAGCTGGCTGTGCAGCATTACTACGAGGACTGGGCAAAGGCACCAGTGGCCGTGGTGGTGGGAGGGGAGACCCAGGGCCTGAGCCCAGCTGCACTGGGGCTGGCAGCCAGCACGGGGGGCAGGAGGCTGCTCATCCCCGTGGTGCCAGGCGTGGACAGCCTCAACTCTGCTATTGCTGCTGGCATCCTGCTCTTCGAGGGCAGGAGGCAGCTGCTGTGCAGGCACAAGCAGGAGGATGGCAGGCACAAGCTGCCTGTGCCAGGCTGAACTGTGGTTTGGGTGCTGAAAGAGCACCTCTTGCATTTGGTTCCTTGAGGGTTAATAAAAGAGCAGCTCGGGCTGTTTGGTTTGTAGTAAATGAGTATTTAAGGCTGGAGAGTGCTGGGATGAGTGTGTGGCTCCCAGTGGATGTGGTGGCCACACGGTGATGCTAGAGAGAAGGGAAGGGAAGCGAAGGGAAGGGAAGGGAAGGGAAGGGAAGGGCTGGGTAGCAGCCCTGGCCTCACCTCAGCGGGTTCCCCCCTGCTCCCGCTCTTTTATCCAAGAAATCCATGAAGACCCAGCCCGGCTGCTGCTGACAGCGTGTGTCCTTCCCAGCCTGGCTGTGGTTTTGGGTCACCAGACCAGATCGCTGCTGCCTGAATGGGTCCTGCCTGTGCTTACCCAAACCCTGTGCTCCAGCAATCATTCCCAACCCTGCCATGGCCATGGCTGTGCTGTGGGGTGTCCCAGCTCCTCCTGCCCACACTCCTGGGAGGTGCTGGGCTGCTCCTGGAGCTGCTCCCCAGTCAGTTCATCACTGCTGAACAGGGGAACCCCTGAAACGTGCAAACCACAGGCTGGGTTTATGCAGGCTGAGCTGGCAGCCATTCCCAGCTCCTGGCAGGGCGGGAAGCTGCAGCAGGATAAAAGGGGAGGCCCTAATCCTGCCATGGCTGACTAATGAGCTGAAAGGGAGAAGCAGGGGCTTGCACAACACGGGCTATTCAGGCTGGGAACGCCCCAGTGGCTGCCAAAGGGCTCCCTCCCTCCTGGAGAGCCCTGAGCAGTGCCAGCAAAGCAGCACAGGCAGGGCTGTGAGCCCAGAGGGACACACAGTCCCTGGAGCCCCCCATCCATGGGGACAGGCTGTCACAAGTTTCCTCTGTGACAGCAGGACACAGCAATGGCACCTCGGGGACGAGGTCATTGTAACAGTTTTATTACAAAGTTCCAATCACCATGTACAGTTTTTACAATGTCACTTTTCAAGGGCTCGGCTGTGCTGCTTGGGTTGTTTTTTTTTTTCTTAGGGTTTGGGAAGGGGTTTTTTTTGGTTATTTTTTTTAAAGAACAGCACCATTAACGTTGAGTTTGGGACACACCTACGAAAAACAGCTCAATCAACTAACACAGAGGGGAGAGGACAATTCATACCAGAGAGAGGGACGAGAGGGGGACAGGGAGAGCACAAGGAAGAGACGAGAGGTGAGGGCAGCCCGGTGGCGATCCTCCTCCTGGCTCAGAGTGGGAGGGACAGAGGGAGTACCCACCCATGGCAGGGGGATGGACCCTGACACAACAGCCAGCGCTGCCTAAGGCTGTCGGTGCTTGGAGTGGGGGGTGGCAAACCCACAAGGGAAGGTCTCACCCCCAGGAGGAAGAGCTTGAGCTTGGCTGTGCTGTGGTCTTTCAGAGGTTGTCAGCAGTTAAGACTTTGTCTTGGCCTTGTCAGGGCACTTTCGTGGGAGAGAAAGAACTGGCCAGGGGCGATGGGGACAGTTTCCTTATTGCTTCCTGGAAGTCATTTAGTCAGCAGGGGTGGTGAGAAAGGAAAGAAGGGAGGGGGAGGAGAAAGAAAAGAGCCCCAAGAACCCCACCCACTGCCTGATGCATACGTTGGGAAGAACACCATGCAAAAAGATTTGCCTGCTAGCTAGTGCCGTGTATAAAATAACGATACTGTAACAGTTCTGGCCTGGTTATTAGAGAATATATCACCATGAAGCACAAGCGAAGTCTCCAAACGCCAACAACTCCCTGCTGAAAGTGCATCTCAAGGAGTTTGCTTAGGAGAAGGATTCACTGCGTAAAACAAGGCACCACAAGAAGGTTGGATACTGGGTCGGGCGTGAGGACACGCTGGAGAATCCACAAGCGGCGGAAGAGAGACCTGGTTTTAAATAACGTCTGTTGGCACAGGGGCCCTTAGATGGGCTCGGGTTTTAGCTTGTCTGCTAGAAAGTCGCTGACAAAGGCTTCCACGATTTCAGGTGTGATCTCCTCCACATCCATCACATACTTGGCCCTGGCTGACATGTCCAGGATGGTGAGCAGGGGTGCAGCCTCGGGCAGGTTGGTGTAATCCCGCAGGGAGTCGGTCATGTCATCCTGGAGGCCAGAAGGAGAAGGACAGAGGAGTCAAGAGCAGAGCCAGGAGACCAGGAGCAGTTTGCTGCTGCCACAGAGTATCCCACAAGGCTGGGCCTTGCACCAGCACTAGCAGGCAACATCCATCTTGGTGCCTGCTCTGCTTGTGGTTTGTGTCAGAACCCAACTGGGTTGGTTTATCCCAGGCTGGAATGGGACACACACTCCTCCAAGCCAGAGGCACTGCTCCCAGACTGACCTGCTGCCCCGGCCACCCCAGAGCCTCTGGGACATCCACAGCTCAAGGAACTGGGGACGAGTGCTGAATGTGGGGACTGCCAGCTCTCTGCCAGCACAGCCACGGCCTCGCTGCTCACCAAGGGTGGTACCAGAGGGACCCAAGAGCACGCCCAGAACCAAACAAAGAACGGGAATGGGATGGAGACTTTGAGCCAACAATGAGACCCCACCAGCAGCTCCCAGGGTGTGGGCACACACAGGAGCAGCAGGCTGCTTGCAGGGGGAGAGGGCTGCTCTCCCCTCACCAGGCAAGGCTCAGCTCTGGGCAAAGGCAATGATTTATCCCTCCCAAGGCTGCGGGATGCAAAGAGCCGGCGCTGGCGCGATTCATCCCCGAGCCCAGGCTGCGCCGCACCCGCAGCGGGGCGTTCCTGCGCGCCCCTTGCGAGGGGCAGGAATGGAATCTGGAATCTGGATTCCATCCACCTGGTTGGCGGCCGGGGCTCTGCAGTGCTGGGGAGCTCCGCTCGCGCCTCCCCTTCCTTTGCAGGGGTTTCTGGCGCAGCTGGACCACGTGGCTGGAAGGGCCAGCAGGGCTGGGCTCGTCGCCTCAACCGCCCCCCACCCAGGTGTCGGGACGCCTCGTCCTTTATTTACAAAGGCACCGAGGAATATTTTTTAATCAATGCAAAATCGGTGCAGACGGTGCTGGGAGAGCGATGGGAGGCGCCTGCTCCGGCCATGGCCGGGCTGCTTTGTGCGTGGGGGCCAGCGGAGCCCCGGGGCCAGCGCTCCCGGCTATTGAGGTGACGGATGAATGGGATGTGCCGGACGCTCCCCATTCTTCGGGCTGGCTGCTGCAGGGCCGTCGGGAGCTGCATGAATAGCAGCAATGTTTCACTACAGCCGGCAAGCCAGGCTCTGGGGGAGGGGGGAAGGTCCCGGACCCTCCCAAAATAGCCCTTTCCAACAAGGGACTTATTCAAGGGTGCGGGGCTGAGCTGGGATGCTCAGAGACCCGTTACGCCGGTGGGAGCGGGAGCGGCTGCACGGAGGGGGCCCAAGGGGCTGTGGGAGGTGGCAGTGGGGGCCTGGCTGGCTGGGGGGGCCCGGGTGTGGCACTGGGGACCCTTTTGTCGCAGGGCGGCTCCGGAGGGCTCCGCGCACGGAGCACTGCAGTGTGACGTGGGCGTGCGGGGACGGAGCAGGCGCAGCCGCTGCCACCTGCCCAGGCCCTGAGCAGGGATGTGGGAGGGGAACTGCAGGCCTGGGGGTGCTGGGAGCTTTTTTGACACAAAACCTTCATTTGCCAGACTGCAGCAAGGCAAAGTGTCTATGCAAGGGAGGCCAGAAGTCCTCCAGTTTTCCCGCTTCCCATTGTCTCCAGCAGATCTTTGACTTGGAGCGCTGAAGCCTGCACATGCCTCAAATACCATCCCAGCCAAGAAAAACACGGTCAGCTCAGAGAAACAGCCAAAATTTCACTAGCTGGGTCAGGCTGAAACTCAAACCTTGCTCCTCTTCCCCTGCCCAGCCACTTTCCTGCCTGCACAGCCTCAGGGTTGAGCAGGCAGCAGCTCCAGCATGGCAGCTCCACTCCCTCCCACTGCCCCACTCTGCCTGTCCCTCTCCCACCTTCAGGCTTTTCTATCTCAGAGCAAACCCTTTGCTAGAAGTAATATCCAGCAAGGAGTGCACAGACTGAGCCAGGCCTCAAGTCTGGCTTTGCTCTGTGCTGCCTGACAGCTGCAGTAGCTCCGTGCCTCAATTTACCCCTGAACAACAACAACAGCAGTACCCAACTCAGCTCAGTCCCTGTACCCTGCAGGACACACCCCTGTGCTCTCCTCTCACTTACCTCACCCGCCACGAAGAAGAGCAACGGTGCCTCCTCCTCTTTGGCTTTGTACTTGGCTATGATTTTTTCAGCTATGGGCTGAATCAGTTGTTTCGCCGCCTCCGACTCCCCGTCGTCCTCTGAATCTGTAGGGCACAGGGTGGTGGAGACAAAACAAAAAGAGGCAGGGCAAAAAAAGGAGGTTAGGATCAAAGGATGCAAAGGGGCCAGGAGCTGGCAGCTCTGTCCCACAGCACCACCAGGCAGGAAGCCGGAGCCCGGATGCGCCGCACGGACTTCAAAGGCACAGAGCTCTGGAGGAACCAGGGAAATGCACTACAGGGAAACACCAAACTAAAGAGCAACTCCTGCTCCCCAAATACTCCACTGCTCACTCCCTGGTGCAGGGACAAACAGGCACAAAAAAGCTGCTTTGTGGTTTGAGAGTGTTTTTGAAGACCAAACAAAGGCGCTGATCTGAGGCTGCTGCCACCCCTGCCCACCACCCACCGTCTCTGTGCCTCAGGATGGCTGAGCTGCAGCTTTACTGCTCCAGTCTCGGCGCTGGGAAGGCAGCTTTGATTTGACAGAGGTAGGGCAGAAAGAGATGGCAGCATCAATCACATGCCAGCCACCACTGCAGTTCAAATAGTGAGCTGGAAAGAGGAGAGTCTGCGTCCTTGGGAAGCGTGGAGATTAAAAGATTCCAATCTGGGGACAACTTTTAGGCATTAAAGGAAGAAGGCAGAAGAGATCCTCTTGTCTCCCCTCATGGTCCCTGATGTAACCACCACAACAGGTCCAGCCCCAGCTGGGACAAGCCATGCCCATACCAGGAAAACTCTCTGCCCTTGCTTCACCCATCCCTGTCCTCCTCTCCAAGCAAAGCAGGAGATTCCAGAGATGCTGCACACTGGATTTCAGGGTCTGTCCTGA